TATATATATATATAAATAAATTCAAGTATATATCTAAACAAAAAATACTTTCCTACAGTTGAATAATGTATAAGAATATAATGAGACCTTTAAATTATGATTTTGAAACATACAAGAGAAATAATTGAAAAAAGTAGAAGCTGAGTGTATATAACTTAACTTAACCTAGCATTCATGCTATATATAGAATATATCAGAGCGAAACGTACGTAATGTTTTTACTTAATGATTTATTTAATGTACATAATGTTTTATTTAATGTAGATAATGTTTTCTCAATGTAATGTTTTATTTGGAATTAAAAATCTGTTTTATCGACATTGATCAAGTCATTCCAGGTTTTTGGCCGTCATTCCAGGTATTCCAGCATCTCTTTAACCTGACCTAAGAGAAATCACAATTGGCATGTTTGGTTCTTTCTTTTTTTTTCTCGAACCTTGCACCGAATATAAATTATGAATTGGTTTTATCAATTTATTAGAGAATTAGAGTCAATTATATAAAATAATTATATATGTAATTATAAAATAATTATACATATAATTATTATATATAAATAATTATACATATATATATGTGTACATATACATATGTTATATATATATATATACAATGTATATATAAACGAATATTCTTCTTACGATTGTACACACAAAAAAATCATGTTTATTATCTCTTGGCATTCTTGTTTCACGAGTATAAATAATAACACAATATCGACTTAGAAACTATTTTATTTCTTCTCTTCTTGCTTATAGGAGTTACACCTACGAAACGTTGCGAATAAAAACTCTCCGCGGAAATCCTCGGGAGCGATTCTTTTCCTCTTAAATCTTCGCGCTAATTATTTTTACACGAGTTGCACATTGCCGACGATTCGTATTCTTTTTCTTTCTTTTTTTTTATTCTACCGCGTCTCACCTTGTTCATCAGTTCTATTTCAAAGATATCTCGGCTCGGAGATATAATTGTACGAATTAAAAGCGAGCTTACAAAGGTGTATATATGTAGATGATGCTTTGAGAGATTTTTCCACCTTGCCGATCATTCATGTATTATGTCATATGAAAATCACGGATTGTCACAGATTGGCGTATTAATACGTCTAACAACGATTGTGTGTTTCTATGACTTATATTCTGGTATAACATCGAAATAAAGAGGAGAGTGTCTCTTCGCACATTACGATACCAAACACCGTTAGTGAAAGTGTAGGAAAGCAGCATTAGTCATTCGTCTATGATAACAATGAAGGACATGATCGATAAGTGTCGCAATAGCAAATGTAGATATCGATTTTATTCAGCATGGGACACGGAAATTCGATTTGACGGCGATAAAACACGATTATACACAGAAGTCAATTAATCCGCCTGTAAACTCAATGCCGCATCTCCCAGCAAACGAGAACGGATTGGATTGTATAAATCCCATGAATCAAGTTTTCGAATTCACATTATCCGCGAAAAAGTATTGAATTTTGTAGAGACTGAATACACTGAATCCGTTTTCTATACTTTTAGATAAATATAATAATATAAACTCTAGTAGGATTCACATGGATTCAGAAATGAAATGCTAGTCTCAGAAAGTGATTTATCGTTGGAAAGCATGCACCAAGATGATCACAAATATATGAATGAATCGTTTTTTCCCGAATGAGCTCTAATACTATACACAGGTATAAAACATTACGGATTCACAGCAACAGGGCGATTCCCGGATATAACTTGCCAACGTGGCCAGGATTATGTCTAGAAATTATCTTGTCGCCGTGGATCCGCAATGTTACATTGTATATCACACCGGGAGGAGGTTTTTGTTTGGGAAGCAACGACTTATATATATCATCTCTATGCGTGTTTTTCAACAATATCATTTGCCGAGATCAGTGATTAGCAGTTGGTGGGTCTCCCATATTAGACAATTTTTCAACCGTATATTAAATTCAAACTTAGTTTCACGTTCATTGTGTTGAACATTGAATAAAATATCAAAAGTAAATTATAAATTATATAAATAAAAATATATATAAATTGATAAATTATCAATACTTAATTACGGATTCAACCAGATTATGGATAGAAAACAGATTTAAAAAATTCAAAAACTTGATTCGACATCACTTCAATAAATAATTTTCAATATTTTTAAATAATTTCTCGTTTGCTAGGCTTGTATTGTGATTACACGAGTACTACACTGTAGATTTGTTGTTAATTTACACAATCGGAATCACGCTAGAGCCATTCAGTTATGAATCTAGTTCCTCGGCCTCACCGGAGGTGACAGAATAAACTGAGATCTTTGTGCTTCGGATGATCTTCATTAGTAAACGCCAGCGAATTCGCAGTGACGTTTCCTCGAAATTTTCCGAAATAATGCACTCGTCTGACAAAAAATAAAATAAAAATAAAATAAAATAATAAACGAGAATAGAGCGGACGCGAATACGGACAGATCAAACTCGTTTCCACATGGAACTTTGGCTTGAACGAGACGTACGGGTATGATAGCCCACTTCGATTTATTTTATATTATACTACGGAACAGTCGCACGCACGATCGACCAACATGTGGATTTCCGGAGACTTGACACTTCACGATCGCGTGACTGTGTGTCATTTTCTCGTGCGCGACATGCGCGCACACTAAACTAGAAAGATGAAGAAGCTCAAGTCTACGGAGATGAGGTCGACATCGACGACCACCACGGTCACTGTAGCCTTGGCGACCAATATTGCGCCGCCATATCGGGTGCCGGTTGACCTGGTACCGCGATCGGCACACTCACGCCAGGTGATATTAGACCTGCAAGAGAATCTATGTTTAATTGTCTGTTTAATTTTATATAAAATTTCATGTAAGAATTACATGTTTAAAAAAAATTAATTTCATAGCTGATGTAATTTTTAATATTTTGTGTGTGTTGTGTTGTGTGTGTGTGTGTGTGTGTGTGTGTGTGTGTGTGTGTGTGTGTGTGTGTGTGTGTGTGTGTTACTACAGGTGAAACAAAATGATAGTTACAAGCATTTTTATATAAATTTCGATTTATTTTTTTGTATATGCGATTATCCTCTTTTCGTATCTATTAGAATAATAATGTTTCATCATTATTTCATTGTCATTATTTCATTATCATTGTATTAAATACCATGCTGGTCATCGATGCTACTAAAAAAAAAAAATAAATAAAAATCGTAATAAATATTTATAATTCTGTAAATATAATTTAAAAACTGAAGTAATTGCCTAAAATAATAAAATACGCATAATAATTTAGTATAATTCACTTATATTATATATACTACATGTTATTAAAGTGTGATTATCTCTGTAATAAAAATGTCTAACATCGCTGGAGATAAAAGAAAATATTAAGCATTTAACGTGTTAAGAGATAAATAGATAATAATAAAAAAAAAAGCATTTTTATCAAAATCTCGATTTTTTTCGTTAAGTACCATGTATATGTAAAATGTATTAGTTTCTTTCTCGTAATTCGTTATTTCACTATTTCAGTATCTCTAAAAGATACATAAATAATAACACAAAAGACGAGAGACTAAAAGAAATATATATATATAT